TTTTGACACATCCCCAGTTTTTCAAAAACAGGGTAACATGTATACAACCAGCACACTTCTGGAGACACTCAGTGAATAGACTCCACTGATCTACACAGAAGTTGTATATCTTGGAGGCTCCCCAAACACATCAAAGACAGAAAGGGGCTTTTTAATCCCCTGAGTCCTATGCACTGAAGTGTTCAGGCGTGGACTACCCTGCATGGTAAACATTTTCTTTGTCACCAATCCAAAGTCATACAAAGTGTGCATAAGGGTGTGACTGCCGGCAAGCACAGGTGAGAGCCGGTAGACGTGACAACAAAACCATGGTCATGCCACTGGTGCACATCAATGATGATCACACATGTAAATAGGCTCTGGGCAAGCCTTATTGGCTTTTATTTGCAATGACACAGGATGTCAATACCTCAGTGCAATCACTCCCTAATTCCAGTCCTAGCGTATTCACACTTGTCGTTAAAAAGTATTGTAAATGAAATATATTAATTCAGCCTCATTTTTTGTACTTATAAATCATAATTTCCCTATCTAATTCAGATACTGAGTAAACAATGTATATGTGTAGGGGTCACTTAACAGGCATATAGGCCAGCAGAGCATTTCAACCTGTGCCCTTCACCTAGTCTAGTCTGGGGTTAAAGGCAGCTGATTTGGTTGTGGTCAGCAGAAAATCAGAATATAAAAGCTTCTCAGTACATAGAAGCAAAAAGCAAAGTAAAAGCTTCTGCATCAAACACAGTGGACCATCTATCATCAGCAAATGACATAGTGCCCCAAATCATCACAGACCACAGAAATTTCACAACTGAACTTTAAACACTCTACTTTCCTGCTAGACTCCAAGACGCTGATTTCCAAATGAAATATCAAATTTACTTTCACCCAATAAAGAGAATTTTGGACCAGTCCTTTTTTCTTTCTTTCTGGCTCAGGTAATATGTTTGATACTTTCTCTGGTTTAGAAGATTGATGATCAGTGATCATCATCTGGACAACAGTCAAGAGTCAAGTCAGCAGCCAAGACTGAGAGGCACAGAGTATTTACACAGGTTGAACATTAATTTACTCAAAGAAAAATGAAATTTTAAAATAATTTCAGATGCCAGAATTCTGATTTTGATAAACTGTAGTCCATAATCATCAAAATTGAAATGAAAAAAGGCTTTTAAATGTTAAAATTTTACTAAATGTTAAGGTTTACATTTTTAAATGTAATTATGAAAAAAATATTATAAATTAATAATAAGAATTATTATATATATTATATATAATAATAAGAATTATATATTATATATATATATAATAAAAGAATATATATATATATATATATATAATGTAATATTACTAGGTTAGCCTATATAAATATATATATATAATATATATATTATATACTTATATTATATGTATATATATATATATATATATAGTGATACTCAAAATGATATATATATATATATATATATATATATAATATTATATATATATATATAATATATATATATCATATATATTATACAACATATATATATACACATATATAGTATATCACATATATATATATATAGAACCATCATGGAAGGACAGGCCCCTGCACGGTATGTACCACCGGCAGATAGAGGAGGTGGCTGATATCCAGAAATCCTACCAGTGGCTGGACAAAGCTGGACTGAAAGACAGCACAGAGGCACTAATCATGGCAGCACAAGAACAAGCTCTGAGTACAAGATCCATAGAGGCTGGGGTCTATCACACCAGGCAAGACCCCAGGTGCAGGCTGTGTAAAGATGCCCCAGAGACAATCCAGCACATAACAGCAGGGTGCAAGATGCTAGCAGGAAAGGCATACATGGAACGCCATAACCAAGTGGCCGGCATAGTGTACAGGAACATCTGTGCCGAGTATAACCTGGAAGTCCCGAGGTCAAAATGGGAGATGCCCCCAAGGGTGGTGGAGAATGACCGAGCTAAGATCCTGTGGGACTTCCAGATACAGACGGACAAAATGGTGGTGGCTAACCAACCGGACATAGTGGTGGTAGACAAACAGAAGAAGACGGCCGTAGTGATCGATGTAGCGGTTCCGAATGACAGCAATATCAGGAAGAAGGAACACGAGAAGCTGGAGAAATACCAAGGGCTCAGAGAAGAGCTCGAGAGGATGTGGAGGGTGAAGGTAACGTGGTCCCCGTGGTAATCGGAGCACTAGGTGCGGTGACTCCCAAGCTAGGCGAGTGGCTCCAGCAGATCCCGGGAATAACATCGGAGATCTCTGTCCAGAAGAGCGCAGTCCTGGGAACAGCTAAGATACTGCGCAGGACCCTCAAGCTCCCAGGCCTCTGGTAGAGGACCCGAGCTGGAAGGATAAACCGCCCGCAGGGGCGTGCTGGGTGTTTTATATATAGCTGTAACCATATGGATGGCAATTTCATGAAAGTGTAATTTAGAAAATGCAATGTATATATAATATTTTTTTTAAAAATGACATTAACAAATTGCCATATATGGTATTGCAAGATACATGTAGTGTAAGACTGGTGTTCTGTAGCATTGTAATGACAAAGCAGGAAGAGAACATCAGATAGTGCTTGAGCCTTGAGTCTTATGGACCTGATATGCTAAAACCCAGAGCTCGGCACAGGGCCACACTGACAGTGTAATGAATTGTAGGTGCCTACTTTCCTACTAGATGGAAGTAGCTTGGCAGTTGTTTGGCATACACCATTCCAGGGAGATAGAAAGCTCCTGCAGAGTTTTGGTGCCAACTTAAGATCTGATCGAGATGATGTTAGTGAGCGAATACATGAGTGACGGGAAAGGGTCCGCTGCAGCGTTGCGACAATGACATCCAGTTGAGAAACTGCCTACTGAAAGTGCTCTGAAGCAAGTGGGCTCTTATCACTGAGTGGGGTATTAGCTCTAGTAATAAGCTGTGGCACTTAGTTGACAATATGTGGAGAGCTGGCATTTCAGACAAGGACTTGATATGCCAGGCTCCAATGGAAGTATTTATAATGGCGACTGTATTTGACTCCCCACACGAAAGGAGTGTTCTAATGTGTGTGTGCTGTCTTGTAGTGGATAATGAAAATGCTGAAAGTGCGATACTAAAAACAACACAAACCAAATGAGAAGCAGCAGCGTTTGCTGTGTAGGCGTGCATTAGTAACTGCTACAGCATACTGCTAGGGAGAAAAAAGAACAACAAATACAACCAACCAGTGAACCAAATAATGTCCCCATCTTGCTTTAGCAGCTATTCCGCTCAATGTGTACTTTTTTTCCCCTTTTTTTAAAAATAAAATACATCACAGTAAAACTTCCAGCACACGAGAACAAACACACAAGACCAATAGACCTATAAAGTGTGAGTTGAGCTCCCAGCCTGAGCTCTAAGTTTGCTATGGAAATGTAGTCTTTCCTTTTCACAGGGCGAACAGACCATATCTCTGGCAGACCAATATTCTTTGACAGCCATAAATCCACAGGAAGAGAGCCAGAGAACATTTTTATGTTAATTATGTCAATTTAAATAGCTTAGCAACTGAAGTTTTTAAAGGGGCAATCCAATTATCTAAGCTAGAAGGAAGAGAAGGCAGGAAAATGAAGAAAAGACACCAGCTGAAACTGTCACTTTAGAAGAAAAACTGCCTGTTACTCAGTAGTCAAAAAAATGGGGATGCATTGGGATGAAACACTGTATTTTAGCAATGTCACCGAAGGGGAAAATGATTTAGGTTCTTCTTCAAATACTCCATGTAATATGACACCAATTACATCACAATAAAACTGAATATAAATCCAAAGCATCAATAACCTAAATCTTAATTGTATTTAAACCCAAACAAAAACCACCTAAACTTTATCAAAATTTGCCTCTCTTCTTTTTATTGAGTAGAACATGTCTAAAAGTCAGCCAATACTTAAAATTCAAGTCAAGTCAGTGCACTTAATGGGAAATCTTATTTGTCGTTTGATCGCCCTGTGCTTTAATTCGGTTTGCAGCTATACTGAGAAAGCGAGAAGGGCAGTAATTAGTAAGAGAAACTGGTTTACAGAAAGATCCAGGGTTGTTGGGAGAACCAACTAGAAGAAAATTGAAAGACACGAGTGTGAACACGGTGAGGAATCAATAAACACTATTAGTATCTCTTGTCAAAGTAATGTATGTACAGCGCTTTGAGAGACAACAAGGAAAATATATTCAAGGAAAAGAAGAGAAGTAACATTGCAGTGGAAAAGGCTGTGGCTGACAAACATCAAAGGAATCATCAGTGTGAAACTCTGTCTTGTCCCTGACAGCTTAGGCTAAGAACACCACGGCAACTGATGCACCATAGAGCACTGAGCCAAAGATATATACTGTGGAAAGTAGGACAAAATAAGGAGTGCTCAAGCAATTATCAGTGGATTTTCTCAAGTACACAATGTACCATGACAATCGGCATACGGAACTTAGCATTTCCACAACCACTTAAGGCCACTCTCCTTTAGTGGCTGCCATCACATGTCAACATTTACACTACAGGTTGTGATTAGATAAATTGGCCACAGTTCAATAAATCAGCAGACCCAAGATGGGTGCTGGATTTGAAAGACAAGTAGCAGAATACAGTTGGCTGGGGATGTGCTGAAAAAACAAAAAACAAATCCAGCATGAAAAAGCTTCTAGACATTTTATCCACCAACTCAGGGACATGAATTCACCCACTGGCCTATGGGGAGCTGAAGCAATGAGACTGGAAGCCCAGGCTTGGTTCCACTCATCTTTCCTCAGATGACAGGTATCAATGGAGGGATAAACCAATACCCTGTGTGGGTTTGTTTTCTCAGCTTGGAACTCATTACAAGCGTAATTCAACCTCTTGAAGAGAAATTCCTTAAGGTATAAAAATGCACTTTTTGGGATGGCTCAGGAAAATCACTGGTTAACATTTGACTGATAGTTTTTAGAAGTGTTGAGAGGGCAGTAATTAGTAACAGAAAGAGAATGATCTTACCATGGCCCCCACGTGTAAGAAAGGGCATCCGGTTGATGGCAATGGGCACAGTGCCATGCTTGTTGTGGAAGTGGTGGACATGGTGGGTGGTACTGAGGGAAGAAGAGACTCGTGCGGCCACGGCTGGGCACGGGAAAACTAGCAGTGCCAGAGAGAGCACCAGCCTAAACAGGAATGCTGGACTAGCCCACACCACAGGTGATGCCGCACTTGGCCTGGATACCATTAGTAACCCTCCATCCACCTCCACTTCCACCTCCTGTTCCATAGGGGTGGGGCCTGAAAGGATTGTAAGGCCCCTCCCCCTCATACGACACACACAGGAAGTGAACATCTTAAATGAATCCTGGGCCCATGATCCCCAGCCTTCCAGCCCGGGGAGGAAAGGAAAATTCAGAATAAAAATATAAGCCAAAAAAAAAAAAAAAAAAAAAGATCCCGGTTTGAAAATCCCAAAAACAATTGGAATTAAAAACAGAAAAAAAAGACAAAATCCTTCCGGAAATGAAAGAACCCCAAGAATTCTCCAACAGTCTAGTGCTGATATCCAAATGCGTCTGACTTGATCCTTGAGAACCACAACAACTCCGACTCCTCTCCCAAAACACTTAAACCTTTTGATAATAAACTTAACCTATTTTGTTTAAAGAACAACCTAAATCCATTAACCAAAGCTTAGCAGCACTGATTTAGTGAACAAAAGACTCCATTTTAGCTCCTTGAAAAATGTCTTGTGTACAGCTCTTTGAGTTAATTGTTTGATAGGGTTTCCTTTGCCTTGGGGAGAGCTTCAGAGGGCTTCTCCACCCATAATCCAAGCCTGCATCACAAAGAAAAAGACTCATTCCATCCCATCTGAGCTTTTAGGAACCAACATAGAAGACCAGAAGAGCAGGCGAATGAAAAAAAGATACATAGAAGTAAAATCAGAGTGCAAACTGGAGAGGCAAAAAATAAGAGCAGAGACAAGGGTGCTGCGATGAAGGAGCAGCCAAATCCTGTTTTGGGGCTTCGAATCCCTGAAAGAGCTCTGAATCCTTTCAGTCTGCAGCTGAAATCAGAAAAACAAGGGATGAATAAAGAGAATAAATGACTGGATAGTAAAAAAAAATTTAAAAAAGGGATGTCGACAAGAGGGCAAAACGATTGGCTATTTCCAAGTGCGACGTTGCTGAATTTCTCTCCTTTTTTCTGACAAACAAATCAATATGGGTCATGGAATGCAGAGCAGGACCAAGAAAGACACCTTAACAGGATTAAACCACAACCAAAGCATCAGAGAGGTTGATGTTCAGTTCAACATAACATGCTCCTAATCCTTGGACTTGTGACCACGCTCCGTCCTACTTCTGACTGCTCTTCAACCTTGGAGGATAAAATTCCGTTTCTCTGCCCCTTTAAACAGTGCTCTCCAGGGTGGGAAGCAGATTAGAAGCAGCCACTGGTCCTCTCAATAGAGCTCCGACACAAGGTGCAGCAGCTGGCTTGCTGAGAGAGTCTGGTGATGATGCTGCCGCTACTGCCTCTGCTGTGAAATTCATGCTAATTGAATCAGAAGCTGCAGCAACGAGCGCATCCTTCCTGCCCGCACAGTTCTCCCGTCTCTTTTTCCTCCTATCGAGTCAGCCAATCCCCCCCCCCCCAGCGGCACGCGCGCACAGCTCCGTGCTGGGCAGGGCAAAAATCAAGAGTCAGGGGCAGAAATAATGCTGGAAGGGAGGGAAAGGTGGACACACTCGAATCCTTTGAACGCACAGACGGTGACTATGATACATAGAGCGGAGCAGACACAGTGAGAGAGTGTTTGTGCGTCTGGTTGAAGCAGAGAGAGAGAGAGAGATGGAGAGAGAGAGAGGCAGTGGGAGGGGAATGACTGGAGAGAATTGAAGGAGGAGAGCACGCACGCAGGAAGGATGGGAGGCACGCATGGATGTTGTTTGCACACACATACAGGCGCCGGTGACTTTTAAAGCAATGCCAGCAAGCACATCGGCTGAAGTATGCATGGCCAGAACAAGGTATATAAATCCACAAGTGACAATAAAGACTGATACAACTTCATACACGCAGATAAACCTCTCTGAAATCAACGTTCCTTTTATAACTGCACCTCAGTTTATCCCTCTGCACATTACTTTTCATTTCTGCACACCATGTACTCATTTTCAGCTATTCATGTCAAAATGAGGGCAGGGTATGTACTGTGGAAGGGGGGAGAGTGACAGGTGGGGATGTTAAGACAACATGACAGTAAGTGAAGTGGGTGGAACAAAAGGACTCAATATAATGAGGATGAAAAAGATGGGAGCAGAGTACAAAGAAATGTTTACTGCAAGAGGAGAGGCAGTATGAATAAAACAGGGATAGAGGGATACAGCAAGAAGAGAGAAATTTCAGGAGATTGTGTATCAGATAAATCATGGCCAATAGAGAGTGCAGTTAGGACATGAGCTCAGTGCAAGAGACAAGAGGCAAAATAATAGCCAAGATGGGGAAAAGGCAGCGCAGGTCTTTTGCAGTGATGAAGAGAACTAATTTTCTCCCTCCTTCCCTCTCTCACTCCCACACACAGCTACACACACATATGCACACGCACACACCGCTGCCAGGTGGGATCATCCCGGGGGACATGTGAGATGCTGTGCTTGCTGCTGTTAGCGTGAGGGAGATGTGACACCCAGGGTGACCGAGGAACATGTCCTGATCTTGCAGAAAGAATGAACTGCTGAACTCAGAGGAAGAAACCACACTCTGCTCAAACTCATGAACTTCTTCACCAACTTTCGATTTCCCTCTTGTTTTTGGGAGGACGGGTGCTTAGCCACACTCTCTCTGCACCCAGAGGGTGACAAAACAGGACTCCGTGTTACACTGATATAGCACTGATAGCTGTTACACAACTACTATACTGCACAAAATCTGGCTTAAAATACTGCAGAGTTTCCTGAGAAACTTTCTGTAGTGGGACAAAAATAAGCTAAAATTATACCTCATAAACTTCCCTCACCATAAACATGAAGGAAGACACTGAGTGAAAAGCTTTTTGGCCAGACAAGTTAATGGTTGTCTGAACAAAACCATAAAGTGAAGGTTGTCTCTTTGAAATGTCACACATGTATTAAATAATGAAGCTGGTGGCCTTCAGCTTCATTATTTAATAAATGGCCCTACTTTATTCGGCCTGTTCAGCTAAAGTGAATGCAGGTATGCTGTTTATTCTGCTACTGTCTCGACATCCAGCCTATTAAACGTCAATGTGCTTAACCACATAACTTCAGTATCTACCATCATTATCTCACTAAACAACTGAACAATGCTGACATAACCTGGCAGGTTATTTGATTTTATTGTTTACCAATATTATCTTGATCATATGAAGCCAAATCAACATTTTGTACCTCCAAGTGTCAAAGAACACAAATAATACAGTAATGTCACTATTATTCCTGTTATTGAGAGAATACACAAACTGGCTCCTACTAAGTTGTGGACCAGTCTCAGTGTCCATTGTCCACGTGTTGGAAACGCTTTCTAGACGCGAAGAAGTATTTGAATGTTTTTCCTTTGTTGGTGAAAAAGACGAGGACAACATGAGAGTAAAATGCAACACTACCGCTGGATGATTAGTGCCTTTACGCTACAAAGAACATACGAAAAAGCGTCTGCAAGCTAAGCACAGAAGCTCTACAACACTGATTGGGAGACTGATACATCCAAAGGTTAATGCACAATTAGCTACATCCTTTCTGGAAAGAAAATGAATGGCAAGTAAACCGACTCTGATAAATCACATCTGGCAGTATGAAATGCTGTCAAGTAAAGGCTCAGTGACATCAGAGTAAAAATAGCAACCTCTATGCAACCAAGAAAAAGAAAAATCCACTATTGTTTTGTTTTGTGACCAACTGCAAGTAGCTGCAGTGACCAGCTGACTGCCCAGAGGTAAACCACACCCTCAACCTCTAAGCAATCACTTTTGATCGCAAGGTGACTGCATAGGTCGCCTGTTGGGAGGCAATCTTTCTCCAAACAATCACGGTCCAATTCAGACTGACTGCAATCACTATGAGACAGATTGGTGAAGGTTTGCAAATAACTGTGAACAAATCAGACAGAGTGTCAACACACTGCAATCGATTTGATTGATTGACATCAAATAGGCCATTCATGCTTGAAAACTCTCCAATACAGCTGAATTAAAACAATTCTGCAAGGAAAAGTGGGGCAAGACTAATTGCCAGTTATCGCAAAGGCTTGATTGTAATTCTTGGTGCCAAGCATGGAACAAACAGTTATTGAGTTTAGGAGGTAATTACTTTTTCACATAGGGTCAACTAGGTTTAAATAGCTTTTTAGAGTCTTTTATTTTGTAATACAACAAATTCATTTAAAAGTAATGTAGAAAACTGCCACAAACTCACTTCATTTATATGACATCAGCTTTGCTCTAAAATAGTCAGTGCACCGAATAGTAAACATAAATGAGCAAATATATAACAGTTAAGCTTGTTACACCATATGAAACACTTTAGCTAATCTCTTTCCTGCTGCACACCTGGAACTTTCCATGCAAGGCCACATGGAACAACACAGGTAAAAGCAGACAAACAAGTTGTTTTTGTACAATTTCCCTCCCCTTTTTTTGCTGTCTTTAAGGGTACTGCAAGTCAAACAAATGCATGTCTTGAAAGTATAAAAATTAATTTTAAGTTGTGGCTATAAAATCATCCACAACAACGAAAGAAAGTGGCAATGCTTAGAGCAGTCAAAAAACAGAGGGAAAATGTGAAAAGGTCAATAAGAAGCACAAATTAAACAGGAAATGTATGTCTATAATATACCAATCTGACAATTACCACTTCTACGTGAACCTTGTTTAAAAACAAATTCAAAGGTATGGAGGAAGTGTTGTGGTTTATTACGAGACTGTCACTGAAACTATAGATGTTTCCTTCAGAGGACGGCGTGTGGACTGGGAACTCATTATGATGAAAAACACAGAGGACTGCCAACACCTGCTGCTGCACTCCCCTCCGGCACAGAAAAAAAAACAAAAAAACAAGGAATACAGAACACAAAAATACACACAGGTGAACAATCACTCCAGACACACATGCATGCATACTAATTGTATTACACACACACACAGTCATCATGTCAGTGATACTATTATGCACAGACACTCCTACAATCCCAGTGGCTAAAATATGTGTGCTTAAGATGCTGTACATGAAACAACACACTCTAAAATCCCTCGGGGCAAGTGAGGTCATAGGAGGAAGTGGGCTTAGTTTGCAGACAGATATGGGATCAAAGCCTCTATGCTACAGTCAAGTCCTGAGGAAACCTTCTTGCCATTATGCACCTAATTAATTAGACCTCAAACACCGCTTGATGTTAAGAAGCTAATATGACACAAGTACAAAGTGAAAGGGGATTTCCTTTTTTTAAGAAAACACATTCATAGTGATTATGTATGTGTACACTGTTAATGCATAGATAGATGAAACGGATGTAAGCAGCAATGACACCCAAAGAGGAAGTAGACAGAAAGGCTTGCATTTTTCCATTAGGTGACGTCAGGAAAGTAGGACAAGTTGAATCTCTTTGTTGGAGCGAGGGGAGGGGAGGGGGGACACAAAAAGCAAGTCATCAATTTTTAACTCCAGTCTCCTGTTTGTGCTATTCAGTAGCTTTCTCCCATACTGAGGCCCCGTGTTAGCCGCTTATGTAAGTGCACTGCTGGGAAACTTCCTCCAGACTGAGCCACAATGTTGGCCGCTTATGTAAGTGCACTGCTGGATGCAGCAAACTGGGAAATAAATATATCTCACTGGGCTCCAACTGGGCACACTTAAAAAGCAGTTAGTTATTAGTGCTTCGACCTGTAAGCTATCATGTTCCAAATTACCTTTGTGAAAACACTGGCTAGTCAATTTGTACTTGGGTAACTTTAAGCATACTCTCAAACAGTTCAAATGGATATCACATGATTTCCGCATATAGTGACAAGACTCCTTTCACTATTTAGCAGTTTGCTTGTGATGGCTTTCCAGTGTAACATATTTGTGTATTTTCTAATCTGCTGCCACTATTCCTAGTACAACATTGTTTTGTGCTCCAAAAAACCCACACAACCATTACAAAAATGATGAATGTGAGCTAGTTTCCAGTTTCAAAAAGATTTTTAGATACAACGCTGGTATCAAGCCACTTTTGCCTTTGACAGAAAAATAGCTGCAAGGTTTCTCGTCAGTAAAATGTAACATTTTCACAATCAAACCCTGATAATTGCGATTTGTTATTTCATGTGTTATGCTCTCCAGAGCACTATCCAGATGAACCGTTCTGCTTTCATATTTAGTTGTCCTCTCAGAAAGATGCCAGAGATCCTCAAAGCACGCTATTAACAGGTACTGTTATCTGAACAAAACACATGTAGGGAAAAAAGGTTCTTTGATATGTAACTCGCTACTTATTTATTCATTTATTTGACAATCTTTGTACTTGTCTTGGTGTTTTGGCTTATAAACAATATCTTGAGGCTGGTAGGCACTAAAGCATTATTTTAATTATTTATTTATTTTTAAAAGATGCCATTTTAAGAAGACATTTTTCTATTTATTTGTGAAAATACAAGTTATTAGGATTGTATAATTGTATTAGGTATTGCACAGGTGAAACACAAAAGAGTCGTGATTTGATTTTCACGTGTCTAGTTGTTTGCGCTTTGGTCAGATTGTAGGGAAACCATGCTGTGCCTTTAAAGCCAGAAATAATTAGAAACACAACACATTTTAAATAGTAGAATACTAATAGACAACGCAATCACTACTACTACTACACCACAGCTTTTTCCTGCTCCCAGCAGTGTCACTTGACCCAAACGACCCATCAGCCCTAACGGTTTATAACGCAGCCACAGAACTGTAGCATTTAGGGCCGGAAAAGACAGTAATATGGGCCAGCAGCCAATTTGTGGCTGGTAATGTGATTCATACTGTTTATTTACTTACTTTAATATGCTGCTCTCAGGGAGGTTTTGTAATTAAAATCTATTGGTTTCCCACCAACCCAGCATCAATTATCCTGTCGGTAATCAGATGCATACATTTACCCAACAATGCCTTCAAAGTAAGCCACAAAAAATGAGTGTAATGGAGAATGAGAGGAAAATATTAAGTCATCTGTACAGCTGATGGATACATTAGAGCACAGAGTTATGAGCAAAGGAATTCACTAATAGCATTGTGGCTTCAATAGCTTTGAAAACTAAGAATATCTACTTAAACGCTGCTTTGTGGTGTAAGATATCAAGGTAACAGGAACTGAAAAGGATAATAACACAGAGGGTTAAACCATTGACATCAATACAAAACAGTAAAGAGAAGGGTTATATAAAACGAATCAATCAGGTTGAAAGACACAGGAGGGGGCAAAAAGCAGGAATTGTTTGGTAATTAGAGGGTAGATATTAAAGAAAAAAAGTGTGGTGGGAGAACGAGAAGCTACAGTTAGAGAGAAGAGAGGAAAGATAACTAACCAAGAGGGGTGTCTCCTGTTTCGCTTGGATGGAGGAGCAGGTTGCACACATCTTAATCATGTGAAATGATATATCCTCAAGAGGAGTCATAGGGAGACAGCAAGGAGATGAGGATAAAATATAAATCACTCGCTCACCCCGCCCCTCTTCCTTTCCGCTGCGTTGTAAAGAAACCTTTTTTTCAAAGATTTCATTAATGATCATACGCTGAATGACATTGTCTGCCAATCTTATGTTAGCTCTCACTGTCCTTGTTAATTGGATGTTTGGTAATTACAAAGATTTGATATCTATCAGTTGGCTGGGATGTTGAATATTTAATAGTGCAGGTATGGCTTGGCCCTCAGGGGGCTGTAACACTGTCTCATCCGCTGAATCAGCTTTATTTCCACCCACAGTCAAAATCATTCACTCTGGTGACAACACGGGGACAGATGAGGCTTGATTCACCCTGTGGTAAGACGATGGTGGATGCTGCAAACAAACTCTTTCTTTAATTTTTAAACAGGTAATCATGCATAGATCTCTACACAGCCACCAACAGAAGGTTATGGCACCGCTTATCTGTTTATTCTCCTTTTTTTATTAGCATTTCATTTCTTCTGTTTACTTCATTTGTAATCATAAATTGGACATTTGTGTATTGTGAAGTAGTGTCCACATAATATTAGAATATAAAGTTAGAGGTTTATAGGCTCTAAATTTTATTTTGGTATTGCTCGTGTTGATCATGTTTTGATGTCAGACAAGCAAATATGATTACATTTCCTTTTTAATCCAGATCAGAACTTTACATCCACTCATCATGGGCATTAATGTCATGGGTAGTGACTTAAAAAAAACAAGAACTGGCCACATAAGTTTGAATTTATTTTGGATAAATAACTTCAAACTTCTGCACCCACTTTGGAAGTCGGACCTTCTGATCACAACTGTACATCAAGGTCGCATGTATCCTGTGTGATGCTGTTAAAATCTTGTTGGCTTATAATATAAAATAACATAAAATAAAAGTTACAGAGTTAAGTACCCTCACGCTGATACTTGGTAATTTGAATACATTTCTGTTCGGCAATAAACTAAATGACGTTCTCTTTCTCCACCTCGACTGCACCGTCAGAGAAATGCAGACTAAGAATATTGCTGGTAGCCTGGCAAGCCTTTTCCATCTCTTCTCACCTCTACATATCGTCTCTCCACTGCTTTCTTCTTCTCCCTCCAGTCATCCATCCATCCCTGCCGCCTAACACTGTGTGTTGAGTCAGCTGTCACTGTCTGTCCCTCCAGCTGTGGACCCAGCTGTCTCGGCCAGATGGGCTCATCTCCATCTCATCCTACCTCATCCATGATGTCTATGAGGAGCCTCCTAACCTCAAGCTATGGACAACTGGGCCTGGAGTGTATTAGACCCACTGAGCCAAAACTATATGAAAAAAGAGGCTTCTAGTGCATTCTAGCAGACAACCAAGGTGTTAGTGTGACTCAGTCGTTGTGACAAAGCTCCAAGATGCAATAGCTCTTTATTATTATTATCACAAGCAGCATAACAATCATTTTTTTAGTGATTACTCTTTGCCTTGTAAGAACTTCAGTGGGTGATTTACAGGTTTTTAGGGGACCTAAAAAGGATGCTTTTCTGCATGCCATTGTAAAGGTAATAATCAGAGTACATGCTGAAAGATTGGTGGGGAGGGAGAGTGCCTAGTAAAGCTATTTCAGAATAATACTGGCTTGCAGTAATCTCTTGCACACAGGGAGAAATTTTGACAAGGATTTAAGGATTTTAAATACAATTTCTATACGCAATGAAGGGCCAACAATAGCACTGGAGGAAGAGGGAAACTGAGCACGGTGCAATAGGAAAAGTCAGGAGAGGATAGAGGAGAAAGGGACTGTGAATGAGAAAAAGAAAGCTCTTACTGGGGAGCCAGATTGCAGAGCTCTAGGGTAGGAGACACCCCAGTGTTTAAAATGCCTGCTGAATCACATCTAATTTATCTAAAGCCTACATGAAGAGGAAAAGCAGTTAAAGTGAGCCTGCGCACGAGAAACGGAGGGGGGGG